ACTGGTTGGCGTTGGGGGCTGAGCAGCAGTGCACAAATTGTTGATGTGAAGGTCACCCGCAGTCTCCACGTCGTCATCATAATTGACGGTACGATATCAGTGTTCAACACCGATGCTTCACTTCCGTACAGTCACGATTTATTTGAAAGCCTCATTGTGAAGAAAAGAATAAAGGTGGTCGGAAAAGGGACTTATTACTAGCTCACTACAATTATTTCGAGGTGCCTACACCTTTAAACACTCATTCAGGCAATCTGGATAGAAAGTCACAACAAGATAGCCACTGACAGCGGTTGGCAGCCATATCTTGCAGCATCTCCAACCAGGCGCAGTGGGAATCACGCGGTCTCCCATCCTGGAAGGCACTGACAGCACCCAAACGTTTCATAACCTCCTTCATGCCCCTTTATCAGGTCAAGCGTTGGCCATCTCTCTGTCACTACCCACTGAAACAGCAACGTAATATATGTGGACTGTCAGCACAGGCTGCAGCCGCTAGTCACAACATTACTCGCGGTCAGGGGATGTCGGACCATCTCATGTCTCGTGCTTACCCACATGTTCACTTCTCAAGATACTAGATTTCTGAGAACAGCTGATGTGTAGATGTAGAGCGAGGCACTGGAATTTGTGGAACGTTTTACGTATCCTGGAAGTTGTACTAGTTCTGATTGTAGTGCGACAGATGAGGTCAGTGCACGAATCTCCAAGGCCCGGGTCACGTTTGCCAATTTGAGACACCTATGGCGTCCAATTGGTGCATTCCTGGATCTCAAGAGACGTGTGTATCAGGCTACAATTCGGGCTGTCCTGTTGTATGGCTGTGAGATGTGGCCTGTTCGAACAGCGGAACTGAGCCGTCTTTAGATGTTCGAAAACCATCGTGTCAGAACTATAGCTCGTGTGGGTTTGTGTCGGTGAATCCGTAACGGGGCAGTTAGAAAGCGACTCTTTGTTTGTGCAACGGGTACTTCCATTGAAGAATGTGTCCAGCACCAGAACCCGCGTCGGTTGGGACATGTGTTGCGTATGCCGAACCATCGTTAGCCGAAAAGAGTGCTGTTTTCCATACCCAACCCAGAGTGGCGTAAACAGAGAGGTGGCCAACCCTTGACTTGGCAGAGGAGTATGCAGGAGATCACGAAACGCTT